GCAGCTGTTTGAGGAGATCACACATTTTCAAATTCAGTAGATACACCCCCATCATCAAAGAGCAGCTCATGTGCTTCAGCCCTCAGTCACTAATGGAACACTTATGTCAGGCTGCAGGAGGTGATGTGAGAAACTGAGGCTGTACACAGGTGACTCAGAGGTTAACATCCTGTCCATCAACACCTAGACTTAAGATACAATTCACAGTCCTAACACCTATTCACCCACATAAAATATCAAGAAAACATATATAATATATATGAATATATGAACAAGAGGATGTTTCAGTTGATCAAGAAACAGACAAAATGTTCAAGGCCTCATGGTTAAGGTCATCCTTCCTTAAACTTTTTTTTTTGCCAGCATAATTCCACAGGCTGAATCAATCCTGCATAAAGAAATCCATTTTTTGTGTTTTCTATGCTGTTGTATTTGCATCAGATGTACTTGTTCTTATCAGATGAATTCCCTCACCTCAAAACACTGTGCTCCATTCAGGTCAGTTTATGTGAAGATATAAATCACAGAGAATATAGTATTTATATTTGGACTGATGATGTTTTTATTTTCTTTCTCTCTCTTTTTTTTTTTTTAGAAATCTTGATGCACATTTGTATTAGCCTGTAGGGAAAAATAGCATAACCCAGTATTTGAGTTTGTGACTGTGAGTGTGTGCGTGCATGTGTGTGTGTATCTAAATGTTTATGTGTTTTGCCCTAAAACTTTTCCAAACTGTGAAACTTTGCCATTTTTCCAGGGTTATTTTCATTCTGCCGTATGCAGATAAAGCTGACGGGAATGATATATCTGCTCATGCTAACACCTCGCCCACGCATTTAATATGTCTACAGACGCACACAGCTGCAGTCCCCCCCCCCACACACACACACACACACAGGTTTGTGTACACACGCACACCCTCGTGTGCACATAAACGTACAAAATTAGAAGCAGTGATGAATGAATTATTGGAAGTTTGCTTTGGTAATGACCTGCAGCTACATATTGGCCCATCCTTCTAACGTGCTTGAGTGTGCAGATGTGTGTGTGTGTGTATTTGTATGTGTGTATATCAGACCTGTGTTAAACATTGTCTAAAACAAAAGGCATTAGCCCAGTAGACCAAACTAATGTGATTTGCTGTTAATGTGATGCCCTGGGTGCATCTATGTGTGGGTGTGTGTGTGTGTGTGTGTGTGTGTGTGTCTGTGTCTGTGAGAGAAGCTCAGTGTTAGGTGTTGAATGGACTGCACCAACACTTTCAATTTGTGTTGTCTGCACATTAATTTACAACCACCAAGTCAGGCTGCCCTATTCATTACTTGTTTTTTGTACCACTCACACTCACACACACGCACACACACACACACACACACACACACACACATACACACACATACACACACACACACACACACTGTTATTCTCTCCTTACTCACATGATAAGAAACACACTGACTGTATTTTATGACTGTGCTCCTCTGAATATCTGGCCCCCTTGTCAATAATTAAATGACTGGTTGTTTGTGCAGTAAATCTATTTAGGTGTGAGTGTGGGTGTTTGTGAGTGTAGTCATAGTAAATCTCCCCTGTATGACTAAATGCATATTGCTAAATCTTTCAATGTAACCAATTAAGTGTTGGGTTGTAAATGTGTGGCACAAACTCATGCATATGAAGTATTTGAATCTCAGGTGGTGACTTAACACAAATTACACTTTTATTTTACAGAGTGCTAACACTGGTTTAAATTGATCTGCAGTGGTAACCATGGTAACACTCCACCACCTTCATTAAATGTCTACATCTGCACATCTTAGCCACGACCAAGTAATAATACATTGGGCTGTGTATTTTAGCGATGCAGTGCTACTGTTGTTTTACTGAAAGTAGTTTAAAGGGATAGTTCATCCCCCCATTTGTTTTAATTTACTCATTATCTACTCACCACTATGCTGATGGGGGGGTGGGTGAAGTGTTTCAAGGGTAAACAGTGTTGCAGCCAAATCCAATACAATTGAAGTAAATGGGGACCACTTCTTTAAACAGAAAAAAACATAAATGCCTCCATACTGCTCCTGTGCTGTCATCCAAGTGTCCGTATGTGCCAACATTCAAATTAGATTTTTTAGCCTAAATGTCCGCTCTAATTCACACGCAAACACGCAAGGACTCAAACCAGGAACCTTTGAGGCGACAGTGCTGAATATGGCCTGTTTCACCTCTGATTAAACCCAGTATCAATATAAGAGGTTATACTACTGCAGGTTTTACAAATCAAATTTTCCAAAAACAAATGAAATAGGTTGCGTGGGCAACGGCAGAAGTCTCATTAGAATAATGTGTTTGAAAGAAAAATTAGAAGCAAGAGCAGAGTGATTAACGATGAACCTTGCTGAACGTCTGCATCCACTCCTCTGTGTTTTTGGCCGTGTCCTCTTTGTTTATATTTTGTTAAATCTGTCTCATGGGGAGTCCTGCTGCTTTGGCTACTGCCTGTTCTAGTTCACACTGTGCTCAGAACAATCACATGGACTCACTGTGAACGTAGAGTCTGAATATGATGATCATGAACCAAGATATAAGGCTCATTGTTTTACACCAAATAAACCAAAGCACTATCGATGTAGAAAATAAAAAAAGGCCTTTGTTAGTGTGGCTATAGAGCTCACCTCTCACGAGGCAAGAAAAGTCAGATGTGACATAAGAGGAAATAAAGAAATAGAAAAGCAGATTACAGCTGTTAAGTTGTTATAATGTGTTAAAATTGTTAAAAAGTAGTTGACACTGCTATGGGAACATTTGTTAACAAAAATAAAAAACTGAAAAGGTTATACTGTGTATATCTATGCAATTAAAGGGATAGTTCCGATAGGCAAGGTGTGAAGAGTCCACAAAACACTCAGGGGTAAACAGTGTTCAATGAGAAAACTGAAAATATTGTTAAAATATAATTGCATGAAACTTGCTTTGATTCAACAGTCAGTAACTACACACACACATTTGTTAATTTAATATTCCAATACAGATTACACTGAATCAAGACACTAGATAGACATTATGATGTTCTTGACCCTTGATTGAGGAAATGTTCTCTATCTGGAACTCTCATTTTAATAGAATACCCCTGTTTTATACCATTTGACTTTTTAAGCAGCATTTATCCTCTGACACCATTGTGACTTAGCAGTGTGTGTATGATGTGATGTGTGTATGAAGTGTTCAGGTGAGTTATGACTATGAGAAAAATGGTGTGAAGTCCATGGTAAATTGTGTAGGTCGGGCACGTGTAAAAAGATTTTACCAATATAAATGTAGATACTCTCATTCAGAGCGCATTATTTGTTGATATTCATATAGCTTGTTTATATATATATATATATATATATTCACATGTCTTATCTGCACAGTGGTTGTTGCCAGTGGTACATGCATAACTAGCAGAAGGCAAACAATGGAGATGTGAGGATCAGGAGGTATTTTGGGGGGTGTGACAGATCCAGAGGCTTTATTGCTGCAGGATAGAGGCTGTAATTCAGAGCGAAGGCATGTGGGGCTAGTGCTTGAAGGGCTGCAGTTAAAACAGAACACATTTATCTGAGCCCAGACCATCAGAGGGAAATAAAAGAAGCAGAGGAAGGAGAGAAGAAAAGAGAAAAAGAGGAAAAAAGAAAAACTCTGGAAAGCTCCTTGTCGGTTTTAGCCGACCTCTGCGTCTCACTGGCTCCTTCATGTCTTTCATCTTCAGCGTGTTCTCTGTTTGTTCCCGTTGACCTGGTCTCACCCTGATATCGCCGCCACACATCTTACACGTCTTCTCTTTCTTGATTTTTATTTGGTCTCGACTTCTTTGTCTTCTTTTATTTCTCTTGCTACCATTTCATCTCTCACACTTTTGTCTGTGTATCTTGCTCCTTTTCTCTCTCTGAGTTTGATGATTAAACTCGGAGGAACCAATATGTTGATGACAGAAAAGTCCGAAACATTTGGTTGACTGAGATTAAAACAAAGAAGAATTAAGTTTGTCTCTTTTTGACAATGACTGTAACTAAAGATGGACGACATGATGGCTCCCTAACAGTGAAGCCAATACAACTCAATGGCCTCCTAGTGGCTTAATACAATATAAGTCATGAACCCTGCCTCCTCCATGTTAATGGATGGGATATAGACCAAAGCAAAGACATAATTTTTAAGGTGGTTTTTATCACACTGATGTTTGATCAAGTGTTAATTTCTCCAGTACATTTGGTTTTAATTAGTTATTTAATGCTATTTAACTGGATGGAATGTCATGATTGACAGCTAGTAGTGACTCATGATTGGTTGAGCATGTGTATTGGCGGGACCTCATCTCTGTGGCTCCATGTTTGAATCACTACTGAACAGAGTCTGGCTCTGAATTATGCCACTAGGTCGAGAAATGAGCGCCTGTACTCGAGATATTGTGGCTTCACTTTTGTACAGTGGGAGGAGGTGGAGATCTGTCATCTGTCTTTGTGTACGGTCATTTTTCATCAGTTCAATAGCTCCTACATTTGCTTTCACTCTGTTTATGCCTTCAGCATTTGTGAATTTCTTTTTTCTATTCATCACTTTCAATCCTCTGTCATATTCTCCCTTAACACAATCACACAGTCAAATTTATTATCGATTTTTCCTTTTTGCCTCGAAAGCAAAGAACAATATTTCCAAGAAACAAGATCAAACACTCTTCCTGTCACTCACAGTTTCTTTCTATCACTCCCACACCCTCTAATGTTTTTGTTTCAGTATAAATATGCGTTGAAATTTCTTATATAAAGGATTGAATGACTCTTTATATTGCACTTTTTTACCCATTGCAGTTTCTAACCTCGCTTTCTGTGTCTGTCACTGTTTCTGCTGCAGTTGAAAGCAGAGTTGTATTAGTCTGTTCACTGTAATATAATCTACATCCTGTTCATCTGCTCCCACATTCTCAGTAGTCATTTCTTTCTCCCTTTCCTCCCTCCTTACAGTGGATGGATGTTTAGACTGGTCAGTGGATCTGAAGCAGTACCATGTTCTGGCAGGCGAGCCTGTTCGGGTCAAATGTGCCTTGTTCTACAGCTACATCAGAACCAACTACACCATGGCCACCAACGCCAAGCTGCGCCTCATCTGGTACAAGAACAAAGGAGATGCAGAGGTGAGACACCTAAACTTTGAATTGAATCTGATTAGGCAATTATGTATGGAAGTCCAGGACGATTGACACAACCATTAAATTGAAAAACTTGGTGAAACTAAGCGATCTAAAGTGTGGCTGTATCACGAGAAAGGATTCCGACACTGGGACGTGCAGCAAATGTTTGAAATCAATTTCCATGTAAAGGGAGGAACACCACACAGATATATTTGAATGCAGAAGGATGCTCCGCATTTGACCATGTGCCGACAGTGTGATGGTCCCTGGGGAGACGATTAATGACAAGTTAGAAGTTGGACTATTTTAACGTATTAAGTACTGACATTGTTATTTAGTGTTGAATTATTGTCGTCTGGTTATGTTTTACTTATTGTCTGATTTAATTGCGTACATTTATAGGAATTTAGAATTTTTATTACTTGTGTATATTAACGTTAAGTTGACAGTCATTTTGTGCTGTTTATTTATTTTTAGGAAAAGGCACCGGAACGGTTTGTAAAGTATCGATTAAGCACAGGTATCAGAAAAACCTAAAAGATACTCAACTACATNTAATAATATTATATTTTCCAATGGGTTAATTTAGTTGTTTAAAGTAGTCATATCTAATCACATAGAGCACTGGAATAGGCAGAACATTCCCACCAACATAGGATTAACTCATGCAAGATGAAGTATTGTTGCATTTAAATACTTACAATTGAGTAAACAGCCATGTTTTGATTTTTACAGAACATTCGGTTTGTCAGTGATGAATTTGAAAGTGCTGACTGACAAATAAACGGAACAGATCCGTCAGCATTAGTTATGTCCTTTTTTCAAAGTAAAAGTCTGTGTATTGAGAACATTGGGAGATTTGAAAACCTTGAGTATTGTCATTTTTGGCATTTTGTCTTTCTGCAGTGATATAATTTGATCATGAAAGCATATTTACATTTGATGACTAATGTAAAGCACATAATGAGACACATAAAACTAAGTGTGCGTTGAAAACAAAGTAAACCACAGCGAGATTGTGTCACATAAGTGTATCTTTATTGAAGAAGACAGGTCCGAACAATGAGCGACAGTGAACATAGCAGCTGAAGGCTGATGCCACTTGTATACTCTATATTTATTATATTTTTAGTTAAGCTTTCAGCAGAGTGATGCTGCTTTACACAAAGAGTTTCTTTATTTCTCGTGTCGGTAATTTTTTTTTCAAATGTAGGACAGTAACAAAATATTTAATAGGTCACATGTGATAGACAGTCCAAGAACCAAATGTGTAACTCGCAGAGAAGATAATAAGTAAAAGACAAAATTAAGAGGAAAGGTAACTTCAATATTCCTCAGCTACATTTTTACTAACCATAATAGATGTTATCTGCAGTGTGTGAACAGATTGATCTTGGTTTGATACAAACACAAGCCAGACCAAAACATTGTTCCCCCTTTATCAAAGGCAACAAGCAAATTACTGCAATGTAATTTACAAGCAAACAAAACAAATAATGCAATACAAAACAATGATATATATGTTGTTTTATTTCCAATATTCTTTAGGAACCCATCATTTTCTCAGGCCACAGGCTGAGTAAAGAAGACGACTCCATCTGGTTCAGATCTGCAGAAATGGAAGACAATGGATTCTACACCTGCGTACTGAGGTAACACTTAACTAGAACCAGGGCACTTCTGAGTTTACTGTAAAATAATTTAGCACTGCCATGAAAAAACAGGGTTTGGGTTACTACCTAGATTTAAGGAAGCAGGATTTATGATATTCCTGGCTCTGCTGTAATATTATCACATAAACACTGCTCCTCTCCCCAGACAGGAGCCAGGTCAGAGTACACTGAACAAAAACACAAATGTTATTTTCAAGCTGCACTTCCAGTTCCAGCACCCCGGGTTCCTAACACTAAATAAACACTAACAATTTTACCATCATGCAAAAAAAATACATTTGGCCCGACTCTGACCTGCAGCTGTGCTGGTGGAGCTGCCTCAGTGTTGTTGATGTGGTCACATGGGACCAACCTCGGAAAAGATTTCTCTGTCTGTGTGTTCTGTCTCTAACCCTCAGGGCCCATTTACATTGCACGGGCAAGAAGCCCAACTGTTTTTTTATTATTATCTGAATGTGAGGTTTCAAGAGTGCTCTGCCTCCCGTTTGAGTAAAGAGAAAAGCTCCCTGCCCTCAGTAATCAATAAAACACACACACAAAGGACTGGTATTCAAAAATAATATTGATTTATATTCAGAATATTGAGATACTCACCATAAATGGCAGCTGAACAAATTATTAAAAGGTAATTATGTCCTTACTTTATTACATCTGCTGAGGTCTATTCTGTCCATTCTGGCAGTTTGGTAAATGCAGAAGTTGGCCTGTGTCCTATATTCAGGGAGAAGTCTGTATTTGTGTGTGAGTTACTGAGATCGTGTTTGTGTTTAAGGGACTAACGCGTGTGTACACTTTGACTTTGTAGCCTAGAGCGAGACGTGTGTGTGTGTGTGTGTGTGTGTGTGTCTGTGACTGAGAGTGTGTGTGTTTGTGAGAGAGAGTACCCCCACCCCCTACCAATATATTATATGTCTTCTTGGCTGTTGATTTATGAAAAACTTTATTCGGGATAAGTTAAGAGGTCTGATATACACTGTAGTAGAAGGTAGAGTAGAAAGTCCAGAATTTACACAAGTATGGGACTAGGAACAGGGTTGAAACATAACCACAACAGGTTGCTTTCATTTGTAGTCCATTGAATGAAAATAGACTGAATTAAGACCACAAATCATTATTACCTGCTTGTTTGTTTGTAAGCAGAAAAACACAGAAAAAAAGGAACCGATATTCCCCAAACCTGATTGAAGGACGCATTATAGGTCAGGGAAGATCTCATCACATTTTGTTGCTGATCCAGGATGTTTTTTTCAACATTATCATTTTTACCCAGAGAATAATTCATGGATCTTGATTAAAATCAGGCATTTTTAAGAGACTGATATTTATGTGTTTATTTGAGTGCATGTAATTTGAGGGCATGTAATTTGCCTGGAATGTCAGGCCTTCATTCCAATACATTTGCTTTATATTTCCTTACATTCAGAAATTTTGCATGTTGATGTGTGTATGTGTATGTTTGACTGCCTACTTGCTGCTGTAACACTGCAAATTTCCCCTTTCAGGACAAGTAAGGATTATCATCTCATGTCATGTTATCCTTTGCTTCGCACCCTGACAACGTTTTTTGCAGCAATTTTGCCATGTTCATGTTACTCTGGCCAAAAATATGATCGTAAGATTAGTATGCGATCATTTATTCATTAACCACAGTGATTTGTTCAACGAGATGAACTGATCTTCTCTTGCCGTGGGCCACAAATCACCATATGACCACATCACCTTTCCACTTGATCCTGTTTCTCCTCCTCCTCTGCATGTGATCCCTCTGGCACCTCCACCTTCTCCCCTTGCACCTCTTCCCCTCCATCACCTTTTACCTCCTCCTTTTTTTCGCCCACACCTAATGTCATCTCCCTTCATCTCACCAGCTGCCGCCATCCTCTGCTTCTCGTTCTCCTTCAACCTCCTGTTTTTCATTTTTCTGTATCCACCGCTTGTTCCAGCTTCTCTCTCTCTCTCCACTCGTACTTCTTCTGTTTTCCCTGTCTGCGCTCGACTCTCTTTGCCCCCACTTCATCGACCTCCCCCTCATCCTCCTCCTCTGCTCTCATCCCACCTCCTTTTCCTGCCAGAGCTTGACACCTATCCTCCTTAATAAGCTCTCACTCCCTTTCTCTCTCTCTCTCTCTCACTTTCTATCCTTCCCTCGCTCTCTCAGCATGACAACCTAATTAGGGCTTGGTGTCTGTCATTGTCTCAGGGTTTCTCATTAATACACACACATGCACACACATATATAGAGGAACAGCACCACCTCCCTACAGGGGAGCTACACCAACCGGTTGGTATAGAAAGCTGTGTCTTCAATGTGTGGGGATGTAAATGTATCCATTGCCCTTGTTCCGATGTACAGTGAATTGTTGTTGCTGTTGTTCTGACATCACTGTGAGTTTTCCTCTTTTTTATTCCACCTTTAGCGGGATTAACTTCACATTCCGACCAGCGTGACAGAGGGGTTTTTTCCAGTGTTAATCGAAACATCAGAAAAATCTCAGTTCAAATTTAAAGGTTCAGTGTGTAGAATTTAGTGCTATCTAGTGGTGAAGTTGCATGTGGCAGCTGAATACCCCTCAGCTCACTCTCCCCTTCCAAACATTAAGGAGAACATGTGGAAACCCTCAGTTGTCAAAACTCAAAAGGTGTTTATCTTGTCCAGTTTGAACTACTGTAAAAAAACATGGTGGCCTCCATAGAGGGGACCCCCTTATGTAAATATAAAGTATTTAAGTATAAAGGACTTCTACCGGGCTAAAGAAAACTACAATTCATACAGTTTATATGAAATACATTAGCGAAAACAACACAAGGATTATTTAATCATCACTAAATTTTAGCCAATAGATCCCTTTCACCTAAATCTTACACACTGGACCTTTATAGTTTTAGCCCATTAAAATGCATCACCTCTGAATTACAGGCAAAAACAAGGATGAGGAGAAGGCTGTTGTCTTACATCTATCTCATTGTTTCTAGTGATGGAGAAGTTTCTCGAAGTTCATAGTGACTTCAACACACTACATGTGTATTTACGTTTCATATTTATCACCTTCTTTCCCCAAACAAAAACTAAAAACACAGTCAAACAGTCATGATTCATACACCCACCATCCACTCTAACCACCTCCAGGTGACTCCAGCACTTTGTTAATTCAATCTAATCATCAGTGATTATGTTTCCTACAAAATATATTTGTTCTTGCAGTTTACTTGAATAGAAACATAATTTATGTGAGAATGAAAGGATTTAAAAATGATTCCTGTGCATGAAGTGGAAACAAAAAGGATGACTGAGAGTTATTTTTTGTGCTATAAATGTCTTGATTAGCCACTTTAACCATTTGAAAAAGAATCTGTTTCTCACAACAAAAAACAGACAAAGAAGTTTGTTGTTTGGAAAATAAGTGACTGTCTAATCAAATCTAGATCTAAATATGTAAAGTGGGATTTTCATATAATATCCAAGAAGTTACCTGAGTGTGTCTACATGTACATGACACAGGATGGTGCAGGATCAAGAACAAAATGTTGCGGAATGTTTTCCATCAAATATACCAGACCCTAGATTTGAAGTGTAAAATGTCATATTAGATAGCAATTGTTTTCACGCAGAAATTCTCACAATGCTGCTCTTGTGGCATTGCAGCAATTTTCATTGTTTGCATCTTTTATTGATAACAATGGGAACAACATCTGTATTGGTCTCCATTCCCTGATGTGGATTTACCTACCTGGTTCCTCTGTGTATTTATACATTCACCTATAGCCAACCCTCCACAAGTCCATCCATCCATCCATCCATCCATCCATCCACCCACCTGTCCATGCCTCACACTTGGCAGGGTGGTGTGTGTGTGTGTGTGTGTGAGTGATGGAATGTCTATATCATCTCTAATAAATTAACAAATCAAGACAGATGGGGTCAAGGGGAAATGATTAGTTTCTACAGACCTTTCTTTTCCATTTCTTCCATACTTCTTTTTTTTTTTTTTTTACTTCTTGTATGTCTTCCCTTAATTTAATTCAGCATTTCCCTCAATAATTTCCACCATTTTGGGTTTCTCAATGTGTGTGACCTGTCTAGGCTTTTCAGAGAGTGTGATCTAAGCTAGGTCCAAGAGACACAGCGTAAATATTTCATAATGTTGCAGGAGACAGTCCTTTTGTGAATCCCAAAACGAATACTATGAAGCAAAATAAGTTATCATGAGAAGCTCTTGTTGTTACGGTGAAAAATCTAAGTGGGTTGCTGATAGACCTCAGTTGGCCTAAGGCAAAATGATTTAAATTTAGACTCAGCATTGAATGACCTCTACAAAAAGCCTGGGCATCTTTGATCCATGCTGTATGCCCTGGGTCTGCCCTGAGTGTCGAAGCTGCCGGCAAATGATATTTGTAATTATCTCTGAGGTCACAGACATCCCGCCTTCGCTTTGTTGTAACCAAGTAAATCAGTGTGAATAAAAGATGAATTTAAGCTGCTGCCTCTTTGCAGAATATTTGCTGTTGTTGAGAGCTGCTTGAGGAAATCATCAGATGGTGGTGGGGCACTTTGAGTCAAACTGGAGATGTGAGCCACCGCCCACATCCTGAGCTTGTTTTTCTGATCGGGTCACACTTTCCCTGACTGCTTCCCCCAGTTAGCGCGACAATTGACCTATCAGAGGTTTTGATGGTGGTATTAAGAGTGGGAACATCGTTTTTCCACATAACACACTAACTAAATAGTTCTGTTCCTAAAAAATCGAGAAAGAAAAATGGCCACAAAGTGGTGAAGAGCATGGATAACGTTTACTCTGTAGAGGACTTACTTGTCTAATACTCAAAAAATTTAAGGTAGGGTTCGTAATATGTTTAAAAGTTAAAATCCTCACGCCCCGTTAGCATCAATAAATAAAGTTGTCCAAATAAATGTAATATACATAACCAATCACTTTTTATGAACCAAATGATTCACTGGTGTACCTGTCGCTAACTAAACA